AGCCACTGATGGACCTCTGCTCCATATGCTTATCTAATTCCCTTTTGAAGCCATCCATGCTTGTAGCACCCACCACTTCCTGTGGCAGTGAATTCCAAGTGTTAATCACTCTTTGGGTGAAGAAGTACTTCCTTTTATCCGTTCTAACCCGACCGCTCAGCAATTTCATGGAGTGCCCACGGGTTCTTGTATTGTGAGAAAGGGAGAAAAGTACCTCTTTCTCTACCTGCTCTTTCCCATGCATAATCTTATAAACCTCGATCATGTCACCCCTCAGTCGTCTTTTCTCCAAGCTAAAGAGCCCTAAGCGCTTTAACCTTTCCTCATAGGGAAAGTGTTCCAACCCTTTTATCATTCGAGTTGCCCTTTTCTGCACTTTTTCCAAAGCTATAATATCCTTTTTAAGGTGTGGTGCCCAGAACTGCACACAGTATTCCAAATGAGGTCTCACCATTGATTTATATAGGGGCATTATTATATTGGCTGATCTGTTTTCAATACCCTTCCTAATAATCCCCAGCATAGCATTGGCCTTCTTTATTGCAGTCACACACTGTCTCGACATTTTCAGTGAGTTATCTACTACAACTCCAAGATCTCTCTCTTGATCTGTCTCTGCCAGTTCAGACCCCATCAATGTGTATTTATATTTAGGATTTTTGGCTCCAATGTGCATCACCTTGCGGTTGGCCACATTGAACCCCATTTGCCATGTTGACGCCCACTTGCCCATCTTTGACAGATCCCTTTGGAGTGCCTCACAATCCTCACTGGTTTTCACCACCCTGAACAACTTTGTATCATCCGCAAATTTAGCCACTTCACTGCTTACTCCCAACTCCAAATCATTAATGAACAAGTTAAAAAGCAGTGGACCAAGTACTGATCCCTGCGGTACCCCACTGCTTACCCCCCTCCACTGAGAGAACTGCCCATTTATACTCACTCTCTGTTTTCTATTAATTAGCCAGTTTTGGATCCATAAAAGGACGCCAATGTTGGATCAGGCCAATGGCCCATCTGGTCCAACACTCTGTGTCACACAGTGGACAAAAATACCAGGTGCCATCAGGAGGTCCACCAGTGGGGCCAGGACACTGGAAGCCCTCCCACTGTTGACCCCCCCCTAAGCACCAAGAAGACAGAGCATCACTTGCCCCAGAGCCCCTATCTATACCTTGTGGCTAATAGCCACCGATGGACCTCTGCTCCACATGCCCATCCAATCCCCCCCCAAAAAAAGGTTGGAATGATCCATTTGATCCACAACCCGGAACACCATTGTACATTTCAAAGAGCCTTGTCTTCTGAGTACAGAATGCTGCTTTTGACCTACAGAGCCCTTTGCACCTTCACTACCTCAGAGACCGCAATTCAAACCATCACCTTCAGTAATATTGATAAAGATTCTGTCATCTGCCAAGTTCGAATGGCAACAGTGCTTAGAATGGCATTCTTGGGGGCTGCCTGAAAGTTATGCAGCTCCTTTCCCCCGGAGGATCACTGAAGTCCGGGCCCGTACACTTCCATAGGAGAGCTGTGGAACCTTCCTCCGTGGGCTTTTCTTCAAAAGCCAGGTTTACATATAGGGGTAAAAAGCAAGACTCCAGTAGCACCTTAAAGGTAAAGGTAAAGGTTCCCTTGCTCGAAAGCCAGTCGAATCCGACTCTAGGGTTGCGGTGCTCATCTCCGTTTCCAAGCCGAAGAGCCAGCGCTGTCCGAAGACGTTTCCGTGGTCATGTGGCCGGCATGACTAAACACCGAGGCGCACGGAACGCTGTGACCTTCCCACCGAAGTGGTCCCTATTTATCTACTTGCAATTTCTTGCTTTCGAACTGCTAGGTTGGCAGAAGCTGGAACTAGAGACGGGAGCTCACTCCATCATGCGGCACACTCGGGTCTCGAACTGCTGAACTACCGACCTTCCACAGCCTGCGGTTCGGCGTCTTCACCACTTGAGCCACCGCAGCTCCATAAAGACTTAAAGACTGACTAAATATGTGGCAGGATATGAGCTTTCGTAAGTCACTGCTCACTTCTTCAGTATGTGAGCAGTGACTCACGAAAGCGCCCACCCTGCCACATATTTTGTTAGTCTTCAAGGTGCTACTGGACTCTTGCTCTTTTCTACTGCTGCAGACAAACACGGCTGCCCATCTTGATCTATACAGAGAAGAACTATTTCAGTCGCAGCGTTATGTTACTGCATGCTCAGAGTTCCCAGGATGGGATAGGATACCAACGGAATTAAACAAAAGCTTGAAGGGGTTGGGTGTGTGTGTGTGTGTGTGTCTCTCTCTCTGTGGCAAGGTTCCCAATTGATCTGGGTTGCCAACCTCCAGGGGGTGGCTGGAGACCCCCAAATTACAACTGACAGAGATCAGTTCACTTGGAGAAAATAGCCACTTTGGTGGGTGGACTGTATGGCACTCTCCCCCACTGAAGTCCCTCCCCTCCCTAAACCCCACCCCTCCTCAGGCTCCAGCCCCAGAATCTCCAGGTATTTCCCAACCTGGAGTTGGCAACCCTCGGTTCAAGGTGTTCTTTAGCCTGTCCAAGTGTGCTTTACAAACACGACTTGCACAAAGAGCTGCAGGGAATAATGGGAGGGCGACAGAGATCCTTTGGGAACTTCTTCAAACTAGGGTGAGTTACTCGCTTTGTGCAGATAATATTCAATTCCCCAAGTTTTTAAAGCTATAATCTGGAGTACTATATGAATTAATACATTTTATTAACACTGTGGCAACAGAGTTACCAACCGTCAGGTTCTCCCAGCATTACAACTCATCTCCAGGGTACAGAGATCAGTTCCCCCTGCATGGAGAAAATGGCTGTTTCAGAGAAGTGGATTCTATGATATATCACACAGTCCACCACCAGCAATTTCCGCAGCCTGAGTTGGCAACCTTAGGGAATACAACCTTTTAAAAAAAAAATCCAAAGCGTTTTGTTTTGAGTACCCCTCCAAAGTTTCACGAGATCTTTCACTAGTGTTTCTTTCAAGATAAACCGTTTTATCATCCAGGTTGTTTTTGACTTTTCTGTGTTTCATCCCTTATTTAGCTCCTTTTTGACTGCTGGGGGGGGGGGATCGTTGTTCCTGCTGTCATCCACTACATTTTATTTCTGGAGAAATCACGCCTTGGGTTTCACAGTGTTTCCTCTAAGCCGAGTGTGAACTGGCTCACAGTTTTTTAGCCTCGGGCTCACATATTTTTGTCTTGGCTCCAGAAGGTTGGCTCCAGAGCAAACAAATATATCCAGCAGCCATATCACCTGCTCACAACTTTAATGCCAGTAGCTCAGAAAGTAGAATTTTTGTTCACAGGGCTCCATAGCTTAGAAACAGGGGCGGATTAAGGCTCACTGGTGCCCTAAACACTGACCAGTCTTGGTGCCCCCAATCTTAGTGTCATAGCCTATGACACTGCACCTCGCCAACAAAAATAGAAGATAACCCTAGGGTGCACCATGATCAATGTCCACTAGTTTTATCAATTTTTTTTTTCAAATCTTTATTCATTTTTTTCCTTTTCACCCTTTCCCCAACTTTGTGGTACCTGCTTTGGCCCTGGTGCTCTAAGCATGTGCTTAGTCTGCTTAATGGTTAATCTGCCCCTGCTTAGAGAGAGCATTGGTTATCAGTGGTGGCGAACCTATGGCACAGGTGCCAGAGGTGGCACTCAGAGCCCTCTCTGTGGGCACGCGTGCCATCGCCCCAGCCAGGCCCAGACTGTCATTAAAGTGTGGAATTCTCTGCCAAATAATTTTAAGGAAATTAAAGCATTTGGGATTGCTTTCCTTACTTTGTCTGGATCATCTTAAGTTAATATATGAGTTGTTTTTTTTCTAAAGTAAAACCTCAGTATTCAGGTTAAATTGCCATGTTGGCACTTTGCAATAAATAAGTGGGTTTTGGGTCACAGTTTGGGCACTCGGTGTCTAAAAGGTTCGCCATCACTGGGTTAAATGATAGCATTGGAACCAGCTTTGGACCTTTCCAGTAGGAAAGGTGAAAACTGACTGGGGAGGGAAGGAAGGAAGGAAGGAAGGAAGGAAGGAAGGAAGGAAGGGCTTTTGAGCGGGGCAGTGGCCCCCATGACGGAAAGGAAGCACCCAAGGCACCGAAACGTATGAAGAGACGGAGGTGTACACGAAAGCTCCCATCTTGAATAAAAAGGGGTCGGTCTTAAAGGCGCCATTGGACTCTTCACTCTGTCTTACTGCTTGCCCACACCGCTGCCTCCCTCGATCTATACGACACCAATGTTCCCTCTAAGCTATGGAATCCTGTGAGCAAAAATTCTACTTTGTGAGCCACTGGCATTCAAGTTGTGAGCGAGCGGTTTGGCTCCTGCATCAGTTAGTTTGTTCTGGAGCCCTCCTTCCTGAGCTAGGACAAAAATCTGTGAGCCGGAGGCTAAAAAACTGTGAGCTGGCTCACACGGACTCAGCTTAGAGGGAACACCGCGAGTCCTAGACGGTCTTCCTCCGAATCCCTTTCCGGCACTTTCCGGCCTTTTCCGTCGTGGGGCGCGAGAGAGCCCCGACACCTCTGGGTGAGAGAGCCAGCGTTGCCGTCCGGGCCCCATTTTGTGCGCGAGCCCTTCGCGGGGGTTGGATGGCGGCGGCGGCGGCGGCTTCCCATTGGCCGCTCGCGTGTGCGTGTGTGCGTGTGCGGGGGGGTCCCACCAACCCGCTCCGTGGAGGGAGGGAGGGAGGGAGGGAGGGGGGAGGGCAGGCGCGCGCGGCAGCGGCTCCCACTCCATCGCTACCATACTGACGCCCGTGCCGTGATTGGGGACCCGTCCGGGCTCGCGCACGCGCGCACCCGACTCCCTCCCTCTTCGTCTCCCCCCCTCCCTTTTTACTCGCGCGCCGTCGTTTGGGCCGCGCCTGCGCACACGGGCGCGCCTGCTGAGGGGGGGAACGAGCGAGGGAGCGAGCGGGCCCCGACGAGCGTCGAAAGGCGGCACAAGCCCCGAGGAGCGAAAACCGAAGCAGGCGGGGGGGCCGGAGCGCGTCTCTCGCCTCACCCCGCCGGGGAGAATGTCGCGCCCCCGACACGGGTAAGCAGCGCTCGAGGGGAGGCCCGAGATTGGGAAGGAGCCGGAGAGGTGGAGGAGGAGGAGGGAGGAGAGTCAATGGCGGCGGGAAGGGATCGGCTCTGGGCTCTGTGTGTGTGTGTGTGGAAGGGGGGGGGGCTGTTGTTATTTTGCAGTCTCGTGGTTTGTTTGTTTTAGAAAGGAACAAATCCGACTTTTCCCCTCTCCCCCCCCCTGCTTTGAAAGGAAGAGGCTGATTCAAACCAGACCCCCTTTAGAATTGGTCTTTTTTTGGGGGGGGGGGAGGACGCGCAATGCTCAGCTTCTCAGCAAGGGTGCGTCGCCCCCACGAAGATTACACCTATGCGTCTCACTTTGTGGGCGGCTGGCCTTAACATCGGGACTTGGGCCGCCGCAGACATTCGTCGGCTCTGGGTGGTGGGCAACGCTCCCTCTAAGCTGTGGAGTCTTGTGAGCAAAAATTCCACTTTGTGAGCTACGGGCGTTAAAGTTCTAAGCGAGCGATTTGGCTGCTGCATAGATTAGTTGGCTCTGGAGCCATCCCTTCCTGAGCTAGGACAAGAATGTGTGAGCCAGAGGATAAAAAACTGTGAGTTAGCTCACACTAAGTCAGCTTAGAGGGAACACTGGTGGTGGTGGTGGGGCGTCCCTTCCTGAGCGGAGACCCCCAGAGAGGGGTGAGCCGGAGGCTAAGGAGCTGTCAGCTAGCTCGCACTAACACGGCTTAGAGGGAGCACTGGGTGAGGAGCTGAGATTTGGGGCGGGGGGGGTAGCGCTCAGTGCTCCCTCTAAGCTGTGGAGTCTTGTGAGCAACAATTCTACCTTGTGAGCCGCTGGCATTAAAGTTGTGAGCGAGCGATTTGGTTGCGGCATCGATCAGTTTGTTCTGGAGCCCTTCTTCCCGAACTAAGGCAAAAATGGGTCAGCCAGAGGCTAAAAAACTGTGACCTAGCTCACACTCACTAGGCTTAGAGGGAGCACTTGGTGAGGCGCTGAGATTTGGGGCGGGGGTAGCCCTCAATGCTCCCTCTAAGCTGTGGAGTCTTGGTGAGCAAAAATTCTACTTTGTGAGCCGCTGGCATTAAAGTTGTGAGCGAGCGATTTGGTTGCGGCATCGATCAGTTTGTTCTGGAGCCCTTCTTCCCGAACTAAGGCAAAAATGGGTCAGCCAGAGGCTAAAAAACTGTGACCTAGCTCACACTCACTAGGCTTAGAGGGAGCACTTGGTGAGGCGCTGAGATTTGGGGCGGGGGTAGCCCTCAATGCTCCCTCTAAGCTGTGGAGTCTTGGTGAGCAAAAATTCTACTTTGTGAGCCGCTGGCATTAAAGTTGTGAGCGAGCGATTTGGTTGCGGCATCGATCAGTTTGTTCTGGAGCCCTTCTTCCCGAACTAAGGCAAAAATGGGTGAGCCGGAGGCTAAAAAACTGTGAGCTAGCTCACACTCACTCAGCTTAGTGGAAACACTGATTTAGCCCTGATCCAGCGAGGTGGGGGATTACGTCCGAGAAGTCAGGCATTCCCGAAGCTCTTGTCTGAGAATCGGTCCGTTTCCCCTCCCCTTTACAGGTCGGGGGTTTGTTTGTTTGTTTGGCTGCCTCAGATTTAATTAATAATCCAGAAGGTCTGCCAGGAATGCTTTTTTGGCAGCTGGGGTGGCCAAGCTAACAAAAGCCAGGTTCCATTTACAATGTTTTAACTCTGTTTCCCTTTATATACCTATACCTAATGCTTTCCAAAGATATGTGTGGACGTTTTGGCAAAAAATATATATCTGTGCTTGGTCCTTTCAGAATCATTGGCAGGGACCTTGGCTGTGAGAAGCTGCCCTTTTCTTGCCTCTCTCCCTGTTAAATCTGGTGTCGGTTTTATACTTGGATGCCTTCCTGGAATCAAGTGGTGCCTCTTTCAGCACGGGAGGGGGCCCCCCTTCGTTTGTAGTGTTACTTCTTAATTAACAAAAACTATGTCACATCCTTTCTGCTACGCCCGCCAAAGTAAACAGTGACTATTAAAGGAGATGATAGCCGTCACAATTAGAAACATTTGTGGAGTTTCAGTTGTCGGATGTTCATAGTTGGGCTGGTTGTCTGCACTATGATACAGGAAAGGGTTAGGAAATTCAGTAACAGTTATGGTGGATCATTTGGAAATTAGATCAGAAGGACTTGTTTCCAAGAAAGGAATGGGCTGCTAGATTTTTTTTTTAAGTGAGAGCAAATGGCCCTGGAAACATTATGTTCTGTTGTTTTGAAAGTAGAGGTTGGATTCGCTTGTCTTCTTTCTGTCAGATAGTCACTGTTAAATAGCTTTACTGATGTGAGGTTAATTTTGGTTGTTTATATATTGCATGATGAAAACTCAGGTCTGGCTTGATCTTTGTGCTTGCCCAGTTGTGTGTTTGTAAGAAATTGTGTGGCAACATTTCCATAGAAGGAAAGCTGGTTAGTGTAAGAAAGACAGTAGGTGACAGAGGTTGTTGTTGTTGTGGACCACGTTGGATGGTAGTACTGTGTGTTCTGGTCACTTGGCAAAGCATGTTGCACTACCAGGAGTGGCCAACCTGCATTATAGGTGCCAAAAGTGACCTGGCAGTGAAAGGGTGTGTTACACCTGGGCAGGAGGATCCTTAGCATTGAGTCAGCTCCACATGTCTGTCTGTGCAATGCTATGCTGTTGTCTACTTCCTAGCTCAGTGAAATACAGGGGAAAGCCTAAGGAGTTGCATGGTGTGTGTTAATGCACCCTAGAGCTCCACCTCTTCATTCTTAGGGCTGGTTACTTGCCCAGGTGGGTTGGCTATCTCAACCTTACATTGGTTAACCTTTGTCCTCTCTTTGGCAGTGCAATCCTATGCAGTTATTGCAACCCAAGCCCACTTTATTTGGCCAGAGTAACTCTACTGTTAAGTGTAGTGATACTTCACAAGAACACTTTCCAGTTTGTCAGTAACATTTACGAGAAGTTTAACAGATACATTTTGTATTCCAAATACATGACTTGACTTGCAGTTGGTAACATTCTCCTCTAGAAATAATGAATTTGGCACAGCCCCAAACATCCTGATGCTGCGCTCCTTTTATGTAGGATTTTGGAATCCATCTGAAGCTAACAGAGAATAGATAGACATTTGTCTAAAACTTGGTTGCTGCTCTTCTCAAAACAGAACATTTCTTAACCTAAAACAGATGGGTACCAAAAAAAAATTCCCCTAAATTGAACTTTATTAAGCAACATGTCTGTGTGCTGAATTCACATTTAGACTGTCAGTCTACAGATTTCTTAGAATGGTCGTATGTTTTTACACTTGTCTTTAAGTCCAGTTGATTCAGAGGGAGTTTACTGCCAGGCAATGTTCCCTCTGAGCTGTAGAGTCTTGTGAGCAAAAATTCTACTTTGTGAGCTGTTGGCATTAAAGCTGTGAGCGAGCGATTTGGCTACTGCATAAATTAGTTTGCTCTGGAGCCATCCTTCCTGAGCTAAGACATAAATGTGTGAGCTGGAGGCTAAAAAACTGTGAGCTAGCTCACACTAGCTCAGCTTAGGGGGAACACTGCTGCTAGGTAAGTAGCTTAAGATTCCAGTTGTGAGGCTACCCTAGTACAAGCCATTTAGTCTGAAATGAAGGAATGTATTGACTTATTTGGCTGGGAGAATATGGAAGCACCCTAGTATATCTTATCCTTTGTTTTAAATCAGAGTTGTGAGAGCCCCTGCATTCATTTGACAGGTAAAAATCTGCACCCAGTTGCCTTTGCCTAGGGTTTAATTTCCAGACATGACGTGTCCAAACATGGTTCCTGGATATATGTGAAAATGTTGCATGTATACCAAACAGTATGATTAAGTTCCTTGATGATCTGATGGACAGCAGTTACCTTCCTCCTATGTATGAATTTGCCTGAGTTGTTAGGAAGCAGAACCCATGAATGAGCTAATTACACAACCTGCTTGTACCTGTATCTATGCATGAGAAACAAAACATCCCAAGTCCTGGATTTTCCCAGCAAATTGGTGGTGGTGGGAAGGGCTGTCAAGTCACAGGAGATGTTCAAGGTGGTTTGTCATGGCCTGCCTCTGTATAGCAACTTTCTTGGTGGTCTCCTATCCAAATGTTAACTAGGGCCGACCCCTTAGCTTCTGAGATCTGATGACAGAAGGCTAGCCTTGGGTATCCAGATCAGGGCAAGTTGTTGGTTCTCTTCCCCTTAGATCATGTAATCATGAAGAACAAAGTGGCATCTTTAAGAACAACGAAGTTTTATTCTAAGGCATAAGCTTTCATGTGCATGCACATGAAAGCTTATACCTAGAATAAAACGTTGTTTTTAAAAGGTGCCATTGGACTCAAACGTTGTTCTGCTGCTTCAGAGCAATACGGTTACCCACCTGAATTTATTAGTAGAACTTTACCATGCAAGAAAGTGTCTCTCTGAGAAAGGTGGGATATAAATAAGGTTAATAAATAACTAAACATTCATGGGAAGTGTTGACTTCTTAATGATTTCTTTAAAAATATTGAGTCCAGTGGCACCTTTGAGACCAAGCAAGTTTTATTCTGGGTATAAGCTTTCGTGAAGAAGCGTGCCTGCACACAAAAACTTATACCCAGAATAAAACTTTGTTGGTCTTAAAGGTGCCACTGGACTCAAACTTTGTTCTCCTGCCTCAGATCATCGTGGCTACCTACCTGAATTTTTTAAAATATTGTTATTGAGAGCTTTGAAGAATCAACAAGCTGAAAGAGACCTTAAAGGTGAAGCTGGTGAAGCTTTTTGAAGGACATTTTGTGCTGGACTTAAGTTGTAAATACTGAAGTAGCACTGATAAGGCTGCCTTTCAGGTATGATAGAAGTTGGACTAAGATATGATTAGCCCCTATAAAAGATTAGATTGTCTTTAGCATAACAAAAAAGAGAGTGATGGGAAAGGTTTTTGAAGGCCATCATCAAGACTACATAGACTGCAGGAGAGTGTGCTTTAAGGAGTAGAAAGATAGGTTTCA